TGTCAGAATTCTAAAGATGCCCGCAGGCTTAAAAGGTTGGGGACCCCTGGGCTAAGGGCACCACCTGGATGGAAAACTGTGGGCCTCCAGGGGGAGTGGCTGGAAATCCTGCTCTGTTGCCACATCCAGGGGGTTCCTGTGGAGAACGGAAGGGTATTTTTCAGCGTAGATTTCCCAGGGTGGCCTGATCTTGTCAAGATCTTGGAAACTAAGCAGGATCAGCCCTTGGTACTTGGATGGGAGACCAGGAAGTCAGTCCTGGGTCACTACACAAAGGCAGACAATGGCAAACCACCTCTGAATGGCTCTTGCCTTGAAAACCCCATTGAGGGGTCACCATAAATCGACATAAGCACTTGATACCACCACCAATTTTCCCTAGGGTTGCCAGGTCCCCTGGTTGCTCCGGTGGGGGAATTGGGGGAGGGGCATTCCAGTGGTGGGCAGGGACCTGATGCGCTTTGTCTCAGCTTAACTCTGTCCTGTCAGCTCTATGAGGGAAAAGAACACAGTTTCACAGCCCACACAGCTTAAGTCACAATCTCTTCATAGAATCCCTGGACCCCAATTGGTTACACCTGTCACTAAGCATTGTGGGGATTGTAGGCTGTGTCTGCTTTCCACTGCCACACAGGTCTCCCCTGGGCCTAGGCCTCATTAGGCCTTGTCATCCAGTTCGACAGAGATCATGACACGCATGATGTCCCTGATGTGATGATATCACCCAGAATTGATGTCATCACATCAGGGACATTGTGCGGGAACACCCTGGTATTTGGGTGAAACTCCGTGGGGGTTTTGCCCTCAAACCATAGAGTTTGCCCAAAGACCAGAGCGTCCCTGCACGGTGTCCCTGACGTGATGACATCACTTCCGGGTGACATCATCGCATTGGGGACATCGCGCAACAATGTCCCTGTTTAGGGGCGGAGCTCCCCCCACCAGCCAACTGGTCCATGGCAAGAAGAAGCCGCTGGAACCATGGGATCTCCCACCCAGCCCTGGGGGTGGGCAAGCCTAATTTCCCCTCTTAGAGTGCTTTAGTGAAGGGGAGGAGTCCTCTGTGGTGCCACAGGTGCCTGCTCTACTCAGGCCTAGGGTTAGGAATGTCATCCATGGAAGGTGTGTGGTTGGAATTTAGGTAGCAAGGCTGTGCATCTGAGTATGTGCAGAATGCGTTTGGCATGCCTTAAGCAAATTGTCTTCCATGAACTTTGGGTTCTGGAGGAAGGATTTCTTCCAGAGTGGAGGGTATGGGTTGTAGGCCTCGTTGGCCTCCCGCATCTCTTTCTCTTTCCATATTTTGCCCCACCTCAGAGTTCAGGTTGGGGCTTCGGCGGGGAGGGCGGGGCACTCCCGCCGCCAAGGATCACGGGCACTGAGTGTGTCGGCCTGGTATGGGAAGCCAAGGAAAGTGTGGCAATTTGGCTGGCGGACGCCCGCCCAACGCACTGGCGAATAGCCTACCATCCCTGGTTGAGGCCATATCAGACTGGGCTTTGGAACATCCTAGACCAGTGGTGGCGAACCTATGGCACGGGTGCCAGAGGTGGCACTCAGAGCCCTCTCTGTGGGCACGCGTGCCATCGCCCCAGCCAGGCCCAGACCATCATTAAAGTGTTGAATTCTCTGCCAAATAATTTTAAGCAAATGAAAACATTTGGGATTGCTTTCCTTACTTTGTTTGGATCATCTTAAGTTAATGTATGAGTTGTTTATTCTAAAGTAGAACCTCAGTATTCAGGTTAAATTGCCGTGTTGGCACTTTGCGATAAATAAGTGTGTTTTGGGTCGCAGTTTGGGCACTCGGTCTCTAAAAGGTTCGCCATCACTGTCCTAGACTGATAGTGGGGTTACTCATAAATCCAGGGCTATTTTTGTGCAGGAACGCACAGGAACGGAGTTCCGGCTGGCTCCCAAGTTGGCCACGCCCAGCATAATAGGCCACACCCAACAGCAGGAACGCATTAGGATTGGCTACATTAGGGGTGTGTGGCCTAACATGCAAAGGAGTTCCTGCTACAAAAAAAGGCTCTGGGTTTTGACAACAAACAAGGTAAACAGAATAAGAAGCAAAAGGTGGGTGTGGCTGGATGACCACACTTCCGGTAACATGGGGGTGCGGCCTAATGTGCTAATGAGCTGTGCTGTCAGGGGTGTGGCCCAATATGCTAACGAGTTTCTGCTGTTGGGTGTGGCCTATTATGCTAATGAGTTCCTCCTGGGCTTTTTCTACAAAAAGAGCCCTGCGTAAATCAGTGTGTTGTTATAATTTAATCATAACATAACCACGGCAGTCGCCATGTATTCAAGCAGACTTGGGTCAGTTAATTTTATGAGTTTGGCTAACTCATCCAGTAGGTCTGTACAGCTTAGATCTGCATCAATTTGCGTGTAAGGGAAAACCCGAAGAGCAGGGGGAAAAGCATATTGTCTTTGTGTTGGCATCTTCTCACACGACGAGGTCTCCCTCCTTGCCTCTTTGGAACAGGGCCATTTTTAAAATAAGTTGCCAAGTTTTAATATCTTTTTAAAAATAATTAGCTGCTGGCATGAATGAAGGAGGGAGAATATATATTTTTTAAAGCCTGCCAACGTTCTGTTTAAAACTGAAAGACGGTCTGGCCGCCAAAGGCCGGGCTTCTCGAGGATGTTTTCGGCACGCCGTTTTCGGGAGCGTGCACCTTTAAAGAAATGCTAAAACCTGACTTTAAAAAAAAACACCATTTTAGGCAGAAAATCTTGTGGGGCTGTGCACATAACTAAGGGGCCTGAGCCCCGATTAGCCCCACCGTAGCTATGGGCCTGGTCTGGCATACTAGTTAGGGCAGGGGTGTCAAACATGCGGCCCAGGGGCCGGATCAGGCCCCCGGAGGGCTTTTGTCAGGCCCGCAGTGGAACTGGCTGTCTTCTGCTTCTTCTTCCAGTTCTGCTGTTGCTGCTGCGTCATCGTAGGTTTGCAGTGTACAGATGCACACCTGAACAGCATACTCAGGATTGCTACAGCACAGACATTTTGATGCAATAATTCAGAGCAAGAGGTGTCAGTTATCAGACACCGTTAAAGAAACAAAATATTGCAAGAGTGCTCATGTTTTAAGCATGTTTTTTATTTTAAGTTTAAAAACCGCTTTGTGTTTGTGCCCTTTATAAAGTTTTTATCTCTGCTACCTGGCATTCCATTTTATGACACAAAGGGCCCGGCCCAACAAGGTCTCATTTAGGTCAGATCTGCCCTCATAACAAATGAGTTCGACACCCCTGCGTTAGGGACTCTCATTGCAACCCCTTCACTACTTGACCGTGTGCTGGCTGGCCTTGGACCAGTTCACGTGAAGCTGCCTTACTCTGAATCAGAACATTGGTCTAGCAAGGTCAGTCTTGTCTTCTCCAGGGGTCCACAACCGACACCTTTCCTGGTGCCTGCCAAGTGTTTTCAAAAGTCCCAAATATACAAATTCCCAGGGAGCAGGAACTCATTAGCATAATAGGCCACACCCAACAGCAGAAACCCATTAGCATATTAGGCCACACCCTGACATCACATCTCATTAGCATATTAGGCCACACCCCCATGTTACCAGAAGTGTGGTCATCCAGCCACACCCACCTTTTGCTTCTTATTCTGTTTACCTTGTTTGTTGTCACCAGGGCCTTTTTTGTAGCAGGAACTCCTTTGCATGTTAGGCCACACATCCCTTCTGTAGCCAATCCTAATGAGTTTCTGCTGTTGGGTGTGGCCTATTATGCTAATGAGTTCCTGCTGGGCGTGGCCAACTCAGGAGCCAGCCGGAACTCCGTTCCTGTGCGTTCCTGCCCAAAAATAGCCCTGCAAATTCCACTAGTAGAAAACACCATCAAAAATTGCCAAACAATATATTTAACAATTATAAAGTTGGTGGAGAACCTATGATTCGCTTCTTAACACTCTGAACCTTGTGGTCGTTTGAAATTGCTGAAATCAGGTTCCACCTACACAGCCGGCGAACTGAAGAAGTCGAAGGAAACGCATCTATGTGGAATCCTCCAGTCAAGTTACACTGATTACATGGACTTTATGTCTTATCTGCAAAGGAGGAATCATTGTATCTTACGCCTTATTATGCTTACAGTATGCACTAATGTTGTTGTTGTGACTCCACCAAATTTATAATTGTTAAATATATTGTTTTGGAAACCTTTGATGGTGTTTTCTACTAGTGGAATTCGTATATTTGGGACTTCTGTGACACCAGTCTTTTTCCCTTGTTTTTTTGGATTAAGTGTTTTCAAAAAGCAGGCAGGGCTGGGTGGAGCTTTTGCCCAATAAGACACCTGACTGACCACGGGACATCTGATTGGCTGCGCAGATTTTTTAAAGCATCACTTTAGCCTGCTGGCTCATTCTCAGAACTGCGGCTTAGGCTGGCAGAAGTGATTAACTTGCAGCAGTTGGGAACTGTCATCGAACGTGGCCGACAGCTTGCAAATTAGGAGATCCGTCCCGGTAACAGCTTTCTTTTGGCGAAATGGCTTTTCTTTCTGCACTGAGGGCTTCAGCCCCACCAGCAAAAAAAGTTTGCCCCACAAGCTACCAAAATCCTGGCTACAGGCCTCGAGGGAGAAGAGCCAGGCTAACTGGAGGCGTCCCCTCCCAACAAGGGGCCTGGGGGGTTATAGTCAACGCTCCCTCTAAGCTGTGGAGTCTTGAGAGCAAAAATTCTACTTTCTGAGCTACTGGCATTAAAGTCGTGAGCGAGCGATTGGGCTACTGCATCATTTAGTTTGCTCTGGAGCCCTCCTTCCTGAGTGGAGACGAAAAATCTGTGAGCCGGAGGCTATGATAGTGTGAGCGAGCTCACACTGACTCAGCTTAGAGTGAACACTGGCTATAGTCACTTTGTCTCTACCTCTCTGTCTTTTCGATGTTCCAGGCACAGTTCTCTCACCTCGGGTCTTCCCTCCACCACCGCACCCCCTACCCCTACCGCACCCCCGAAGGGGCTTGGTGGTTCGTGGTGGTCTCCAATGTGGTGTACGCCATGGGGCCCCACCTCCTCGCCTACCGCTGCCTCTGCAACCCCGCCTTCTTCTACCCGGTGGCCCTTCGAGATGAAGAAAAGAAGAAGCAGTGAGGTCGGCAGGGGCCTCCCTGTGTGTCGGACACCCCACTGAAGAGGGGCTCTGTGTCAAGGGGAGGGGAGGGCTTGCAGGACGACTCTGATGCAGTCTTTACTCTCTGTCTGAGGGTTTGCTGCGTCTGCACTGGGGCACTGAAATCTGATTTCAAATCGGGGCCCGAGCAAGGAATCTTGGGAGCTGGCGTGTGCCGAAGAAACGTCTGGGCATCCTTACAAATTTCCTGTTTCGGTGTGGGGGGTGGGGTTGGCAGCGTCAAACGCTTTCTGTGTGCATTGCAGATAAGCCAATTACTGCAGGCCAGGATCATATTTGGGGGCGGGGCGCACAGGGGCTACTTTTCTAAAAGAAAAGTAGGGGTTTTGCTTCAAAGAATAGAGCCAGAAATGGGCGATACCGAGAAGTCCTTGTTTACAACATTAAAAATATATATGTGTGTGTGTGATTTTTAAATGGTTTGGCTGTATGAAATTCATTCTTGAGGATCTGCTGATGGTGTCTGGGTGTAAAGGCAAGCCCCCCGCCCCTATGCTGAATACTGTATGCTTGGGATCAAAGGTAGATTGCCCCGCTGCATGGAGGTTCTGTTTAGTTATCCTGGTGAAAAGCTGTTGATGCTCCTATGGAGGGTGAATCCATCAGCAGTATCTTGCTGGACTGGATTGGGACCTGGGGATCCCCTGGAATTACAGCTCCAGACTACAGAGATCAATTCCCCTGGAAAAAATGGATGCTCTGGAGGGTAAACTCCATGGCCTCGTACCCCACTGAGGTCCCTGTCCTCCCCAGGCTCCATCCCCAAATCTCCAGGAGAGCCAGTTTGGTGTAGTGGTTAAGTGTGCAGACTCTGGTCTTGGAGAACCAGGTTTGATTCCCCACTCCTCCACATGCAGCTGCTGGATGACCTTGGGCAAGCCATAGTTCTGTCAGAGCTGTTCTCTCAAGGACAGTTCTGGAAAGAGCTCTCTCAGCCCCGCCTACCTCACAGGGTGTCTGTTGTGGGGAGGGGAAGGAGATTGTAAGCCACTCTGAGATGCCTTTGGGTAGTGAAGGGCGGGGTATAAATCCAATCTCCTCCTCCTCCTCTTCTTCTCCTTCTCTGGTCTCTTCCTTAAGGGAGAGCAGTAGAATTCCAACTGTACCCCTGGCACCCTCCACTCCCACCCTCCCACCATGTCAGACTGTGTGAGTCACCCAATTCTGGCTTCCGGGTTGAAACCTGCAACTCGCACTGGGTGCTGCTAAAACAAAAGGCCTCTGTTTCTCCCTGCTTTTGGATTCCTCATGTTTCTGAGGAGCTGGGGACTGCACAACTGAAGAGCAAGACGGAGCATTTGCTGTTTGGGATCCCCGGGGAAGTATAACACCCTCGGGGGTCCCCACCCCGTACAGCTGAAACGGGAGCTGATCGATAACCTCGAAACTGGATAGCTGCTTTTGCCAGTCTACCTTGTGGGGCAGCCTGAAATGGAGACGGCAAAGGCCGGGGAAACCTGAGAGTCTAGCGAAACTGACTGTCTCTCGAAAAGCTGGGTTTGGAGATGAAGCAGGGAATCGCCGGTGGGTGGCCATGGCCTTTAAAAGGGCCCCACCGTCTGCACCACCGGATCCCAGATCTGCGCCTGCCTTCTGGGCCTGGCCTGGCGCTGGCGCGAGTCCTGCAACTTCAGCAGCCCAGCCTGGCTCTTCTCCATGCAAAGAATTTGCAGGTTTCCCTTTAAAATTCTCTCCTCTCCCCTCCCACCCCAGCTTTATCCCTCCTTCCGGTCCCATTGCAGCCCTCTTTTAATGCAGTAATTGCCACTGTCTCTTTGCCACCACCGGTCCCTTTGCGCAACTTTTCCACCTCTTGCAAACAGCTGTTTGCTCTCCACGCCGCCCCACACACACACACACCGCTGCTGGCTTTAAGCTCCCTTGGACTTTTGCTGAGTAAGAAATGCCAGAAGGGATTCTGCAACTCATCAGCATCGTACTGATGTACTGAGAAAGGGAGAGAGAGGGGTGGAAGAGAAGAAACGTGAGAAACAAGAGCCGGTCCCCCCACCACCACCACCTTTGCTTCCCTCCCCCCCATCCCTGGGCAAACTGCATCGGTCTCCAGTTCCCCGGCACCTGAGAGTCACTTCTGGGTCGGGACAGCCCGTCCCCCTTCAAGGAGAAATGGTGAGTCGCGTTTTTTGGTGCAAGGTTGTCTGACAGTTTGTGGTTCACCTTCCTCCTGCAACACTGGCTCCTTGGGGCTCGCTGCAATGGTCTCTGGAGAGCATCCCTCGGCTCGGCTGGGTACCACTTTCCCCCAGGGATGCTGCCTGCATCCTTGAGAGGCTCTTTCCAGTGGGGAGAAAAGAGAGACCGTTGCAGGGAGCTAGAGAGATAGAGACAGGCACACAGTTCTTCGAATTGGTTTTTGAAGAATTAGGGTAGGCGTTTTTTTTGCCGTGTTACTTTTTATTCTCCCCCCCCCCGAACCAAAGTGTTAGGACCAGTGTTCCCTCTAAGCTGAGTTAGTGTGAGCTAGCTCACAGTTCTTTAGCCTCCGGCGCACAGATTTTTGTCTTCGCTCAGGAAGGAGGGCTCCAGAGCAAACTGATGTATGCAGCAGCCAATTGGCTCGCTCACAACTTTAATGCCGGTAGCTCACAAAGTAAGAGTTTTTGCTCACAAGACTCCATAGCTCAGAGGGAGCATTGGTTAGGACGCCCCTGCCTTCCTCACCTGCGCAAAGAAAGTTTGCTTTTGCATCCTAAAGGAGCGCATTGAAAGGGGGAGAGATACAGAAAATTATCTCCGAATTGCCGCAACGTGGCTAAGGCAGTTAAGAGATTGGGAGGTTAAGGAAACTTCTGCACATCCATTTTTCACCACCAGATGAGAGGCGTACATTATTAACTCCTCGCTGGCTGGCCTGCCTATGCAACTACCACCAAACCTCTGCTGAATCCCCCAAAGAAAAGTAATTTCCTGCATTTGGACCCTCCAGTCAGCCGAATGCCCTGGCTGGCCGGCCCTGGGACTGAGGGTCTTTCCTCACCACCAGTTCGGGAGTGGCCAAAGTGAAATTGAACTATTACAGCAACCTCCGTCGATGGAGGATTGTGACAGCAGGGGCTTCCCCCCCCAAGGAGAAGAGGAGAGGGAGGGAAGCAGAAGGGGAGACCTTGGTGTAGGGATGCCAGCCTCCAGATGGGACCTGGGGATCCCCTGGAATTACAACTCATCTCCAGACTACAGTTCCCCTGGAGAAAATGGATGTTTAAGAGGGCAGGCGCCATGGCACTGTGCCCGCCCCACTGAGGTCCCTGCCAGTGTGCCAGCTCACAGTTTTTTAGCCTCCGGCTCACACATTTTTGTCTTCGCTCAGGAAGGGTGGCTCCAGAGCAAACTAATTTATGCAGTAGCCCGATCGCTCGCTCCCACCTTTAATGCCAGGAGCTCAGAAAGTAGAATTTTTGCTCACAAGGCTCCACAGCTTAGAGGGAGCATTGGTCCCTCCCCTCCCCAAATCTCCAGGAGTTTCCCCCGCCTGGACCTGGCAACTGGACTCGGAGGGATGCCAAGAAAGGCGATTCCCGGTTCTCGGGCTTTGCAGAAGAGTTATCTCAAAGGCAGGTTTGGTGGAAGGATCTGAAGGCAGAGCGTGTGTGTCAGAGAGAGGGGGGCACCTGAGGTCCTCTGCGTATGGGGCAGAGCCATTTCAGGGACCAGGGTATCTAGGAGGCTCCGATAGGGGGTCCCAAGCAGTGTTCCCTCTAAGCTGAGTTAGGGTGAGCCAGCTCACCGTTTTTTAGCCTCTAGCTCCCACACTTTTGTCTTAGCTCAGGAAGGAGGGCTCCAGGGCAAACTAATTCATGCAGCAGCCAAATCGCTCGCTCACAGCTTTAATGCCAGCAGCTCACAAAGTAGAATTTTTGCCCACAAGGCTCCACAGCTTAGAGGGAGCACTGGTCCCAAGCAGCAGGGGCAACAGCATGGGAGGAAATACTACCTTCCCCCAGGGGTCATTTCGTAGACAAAGAGGTGCAGGAGCTCATTAGCATAACAAATTAGCATAACTCATTTGCATATGCCACACCCTCTGACATCACCGGAAGTGTGTCAGAAGGCAACACCCACCGCTCAGGCTCCACGGGACTGTTTTAGATTGCTAGCTATTGGGGGGGACGGACGTGCAGATCTGTCCTCGCAGATGAGGGAGAGCTTGTGCCTGAATAAAACTTGGTCTTAAAGGTGCCACTGGACTGTTTTGGACTGGGGGGCCTGGGGGGATGGAGCTCTGCAGCTTACCAGGCTGCTTCTTGCTCTGACTGAGGGCT